ACTTCTTTTCTTTTCTTTCTTTCTTTTTTTTTTTGAGACTGAGTTTTGCTCTGATTGCCCAGGCTGGGGTGCAATGATGGAATCTCGGCTCAATGCAACTTCCACCTCCTGGATTCAAGTGATTCTCCTGCCTCAGCTTCCCAAGTAGCTGTGATTACAGGAATGTGTCACTATGCCTGGCTAATTTTGTATTTTTAGTAGAGATAGGGTTTCATCATGTTGGTCAGGCTGGTCTCAAACTCCTAACCTCAGATGATCTACCCGCCTCGGCCTCCCAAAGTACTGGAATTACAGGTGTGAGCTGCCGCGCCTGGCCCACTTGTGATTTTTAAAGTGTAAATATATGTATGGGCTGGGGAAGACACTTTTCCTCATTACAAACCAAATCGATTTTGATAGGGGTAACTAAGAAAATAAAAATTGTAATGAAGTATTTGTAGATAAACTGTGAAGAAACAGCTGTGTCTGAGGCTAGGCTTTGGAATCCAAAAGTTTTGGGAGTCATTGGTGGTGTTTTTGTTGACTTGTGATATGACAAATTCCAAATGCACAGATAACTGAGAGTCCTGCTTTTCCTAATTATGAGTAAGACATTCTCCCAACTGCATGCAGCACTCTTCACTACCAAGTCATTCTTTACATGAAGGGCTTGGTTTATTCATGCAATGGCTAAGCAAATTAATAAAAGTAATTCAAACCAATACCATGCTTATTATTTTGCTCCCATTTTCATTGGTCTTGATGGTAGTGAAGCCCTTATTGTCTGACTTGTACTGATTAAAAGGAAATCACTTCCAAAGGCAACATTTTTAATTTCTGTTAGTTTTGGGAATATATATGTGTATTCCTGTATACGTGTATATACATATATATATATGTATATACACATTACTGTATACATATAGGAATAACTACATATATTTGAGTACTTGTAAGGACTTAGTAATCTGCTTAATATGGATAATAAAATATTGAGGAACTGTGTCTCTAGTTACTTAAAAGCTAAATATTTCAGTTTAATCTTTTAAAAAATTAACAAAAATATATTTCCACGTTGACAGAAAACGTTCAAATTACTTACATGTACTCTCATCAGCTTTTTGAGGAAGTATTACAAAGCGGCACATTCATTTATTGGTCGGATTAGGTTTAAACACTCCACATCTTTGCTCAGGGAAGCATTCTATATCATCACCTCCAAAAAGTCCTTTAGTGCCACCAGTTAACTGGCTAGGTACTTGGCATGAAAAACAAACCCACGTTTTTATTTGTATTTTATAAAATCTATATTTTAATAATGTGTACACAGATTAAAAAAATACAGAGCACTCATACCATCATGTACTGTACCCCGAAAAAAAAGTTTCTACTTCATGCATGCACACACAATGCACTAAAGCAAAAAAGCACTTACACAACAGGAAGGTAGCTCTGTTGTGAGCAAACACAAGTAATGGATACTGTAACTTCACCCGAACAGGACAACCTTACAAAATTTAAGAATGTGATTATTTCTCTGAGGACTGGAACACAATAGCCTAATCCTATTTTTCTTAAGCTTGTTTTCCCTCAAAGTAGCCCAGAAAAGGGGAAAGGGGGCATTTTCACAGCAATCAAACCCATTCACAAGATCCGTTAATAAAATCTACAAAATACAGAGGAGGAGGGAGAAAGAAAGGCAATTAAATGATTGCGTCCATAGGTCTGACGATGCGAATAAAGTAATCTGAGAATTGACTAATTTTCCTCGAGGAATGCATCCTTAGAATGCTGGGCCGCCGCAGGCTTCTGGGCTACTTGGGGCAGGGCCGCGACTCGGAGCCGCTCCCGGGCACCCACCCTCGTGGAGGCGCGAGCCCTAGGTGGCCATGTGGAAGGGCTCGGGCTGGAAGCCGAAGAGTCTCTGGCCGTACAGCTCGCTCTCGCCCGACAGCTTCGCGCTCGGGAACGGGAGATAGTGGTCGTGGCTGAAGTGCTCACAGTGGAGACCCACCCAGTCCCGCTCCGAGCCGAATCGCTCGGCCTCGGCCAGGATCCGGGTCAGAGCCATGATGTAGCTCAGCGCCATCTGCAGGGTCTCGTACTTGGACAGCTTTTTATCCTGGCCCCACTGGGGCACCACCCTGCGTAAGCGGTCGAAGGCCGTGTTGAGCCCCTGCATGCGGCGGCGCTCGCGCGCGTTGGCCGCCAGGCGCCTGCGCGCCGCGCTCTCCAGCCGCCCGGCGCCGGCGCACGTGCCCGCGCACTCGGCGCCGCCCGCGCACGGGGGTGCAACGCGCGCTCCCGCCGGCGGCCCGCTGGGCTTGCAGGACTTCATCCCCGGTCCGGAGCAGCCAGGCGTCGACCTCGCACGCACGCCCGCTCAGGACCTGCGCGTGGGCTGGTCTCTCGAGCCGCTTCCCTACGTGGCTCTTCTGAGCAAATAAGTCATAAACAAAGCAACTCACGAGCAATCAAATAGTTTACAGGGGGGGAGTGCGGGACTCGGCCTTCTGTCCTCCTGGATGACCAGGCTGATATCTCTTCACTTGCCCAAATTTAGGGGAAATTGAGAGGCTCAAGAGAAAGTCATTTTCTCAAGGTGAAGTTGAAAAAGAGAAGGAAACCTTCTGCAGCAGAGTTTGATGTGGCTGGTTCGAGGAAGGCCTTTCAAGTCCTCTGGGAAAGCCTGAGACTCCTTTGCAGGAAGATGAACTCTTTCCCGACGCTGAGGGAAGGAGCGCTTTTAGCGCAGTAGCTGTCGGAGAGTGCGGGATGAATCTTGGAGGGAGGAGAATTTATAGCAGAGAGCTGAAGGAAGGAACAGGTGGTGGCAGGTGGGCGGGCGTCCCTCGGCTTCTATCTCAGCACCTTCCTACCCTGGGAACTGCGGGGGGGAGGGGGCGACGCACAGCAAAATCCTGACATTACAGCCTTAGTCTGTTGAAGTTTCTCCAGAGCTATGTCCAACACTAACACACCATCTGGAGTGGCCTGGCTGTCCCCAAAAGAATAACAAGGTGGGGGGTTGGGGCAGAGCTTGGTCTATCTTTTCCCGTATCAGTGGGCAGTTTGCATATCAAAAACTTAACCGAGATTTGTGTATTATTAGAAATCATCTGTGTGAAGATATCGGTTTTGGCATTATGGGATACATCGGAACTGTAGTATAAGAAGATGTAGCTTTGTTGAGAAGTGTGATAATTTTGCATAATGCCGATCTAATAAACTGACATTTTAATTGTAGTTATTAAGTAAATTGGAACTAATTAGCAGGTTCTAATATTATTGCAGACCTGGAATTTTACTGTGTAAATACTTTGGCTGTTTTCTATTAAACAATATATCAAAAGATTAATGTGTATATAAAACTTTATGTTATTCTAATTATATAATTGGATTGCTTGATCATATACTTAGGCAAATTAATTCAGTATTTATACTTCATTTCCGCTGCCACAGGTTCATAAATGTTTGTGGGAAATGCACTAATCATTTAATCATTTAACATTTAAATCAAACAAAACTAATCATAATGCCGATTTTTGTGCAAAATGAGAACATCTAAGTAATTGATGACATTTTAAAAAATAGTTCCTAAAGGACAATTTTTGAAAATAGTTTATATCCTTGAACATTTCTGTTATGTCACCTGCCCCCAGGAATGACAAAGCATGATTTCTGCTATTGATAATGATGATCTGATTGATGTGGAAAAACCATTAATTGGATTCTTTCATCTCTGCTCATTTCTCACTCTTAAGAGGAATCAAGGGGCAAGAAACTAGCTCCAAATAGGTTCAATCCAGAATCATTACTGGATTTTTTAGGAAGACCAAGTATGCTCTTTCTCCTTTTGACATATAGACATGTCAGCATTATTCTCAAATATGTTTATTTAATTAAATTATCAACAAATTCTCACAAATCCAGTCTTTTAACCGTGACTTGCTCTCCCCACCATTGCTCAGACTATAACCCCATTATGACTGCCCTGACTCCAAGTCCTGTCTTCCCATAAATAGTTGATTAATCCCCAGCTGAAGCAATGACAATGAAATGAAGTTGAATGACATGAAGACAATAGGAAGCAATTGAACATTAATGATCTCCAGCATGACAGATGTTGAACACAGACTTTTGCATGGAGCCACTCAGCTCTGTTACTTTGAGTCTTGGTTGGGAACAGCAGTCCCTTGACAGAAAAGACTATGTTATATAGTCATCAAAATGTCAAATATATTTTTCTGTGTTTTGGTAGAAATCTGCTCTATTAATGCCATTGTTCTTCATATTCGTTTATCTCATCCCTTTCCTCCAAAGAGCTCCCTCTGTGCTGCTCTGTGGAATGCTTTTCTGCAAAATGGACTGTGCATTTGTTCTGGACGTTATTGTCCAAAGTGCTAATGAGATGTATGCTTTTGCAGGCCACGTATCCAGGATTGATGAGATTATAGCCCGAGTTCCAAGAGCAATGGAAGCATAACTTGAAGAGAAAAAGGAAATAGTACTGTGCACACAGAGTTATATTAGAACATAAACTAGCAGACACCTATGACATAAAGTTGATCCAAGGACAGACAGAATTGCTGCAATAAAAAAGCGTCTTAGAGGGCATGTATAAGACATTTCCCAAATGTATTCTGAAAGACATTATTAGTATGACAAAGTTGCTTCTGGGGGAAAGGGTTCCATTGTCAAATAAATTTGGGAAACATTATCTGCTGTCTCCCACTTGGAGATTCATGAAGGAAAATTGGCACAGTAAAGTTTCTGAGAAATCCTGGAATAAAGAAACCTGTTGACTCCAGCATTTCTGAGAACTTCTTAAACACAGAACCCTCTTATCCTAGAAAAATCTACTGACAAAGTTCCTTGGCTGGGTGCAGTGGCTCATGCCTATAATCCTAGCACTTTGGCCAAGGCAAGAAGATTGCTTGAGACCAGCCTGGGCAATATAGTGAGACCCTATCTCTATGAAAAATATTTTTAAAATATTAGCCAGGTGTGGTGGCATGCCCCTGTAGTCCCAGCTACTTGGGAGGCTGAAGTGGGAGGAGAAGCCTGGGAGGTGGAGGCTGCAGTGACCAGTGATCACCACTGCATTCCAGCCTGGGCAACAAAGTGTGACCCTGTCTCAAAACAAAGAAAGAAAGAAACAAAGTTCCTTGGACATTTTTTCTAACCTGCTCTAGTACCTTTCATTTATTTTATTTATTTTTATTATTATTAATTTTTGAGATGGAGTTTTGCTCTTTTTGCCCAAGCTAGAGTGCAGTGGTGTAATCTCAGCTCACTGCAACCTCCGTTTCCCAAGTTCAAGTGATCCTCCTGCCTCAGCCTCTTGAGTAGCTGGGATTACAGGCATGTGCCACCACATTGGCTAATTTTGTATTTTTATTAGAGATGGGGTTTCACCATGTTGGCCAGGCTGGTCTCGAACTCCTGACCTCAGGTGAACCACCAAACTCAGCCTCCCAAAGTGCTGGAATTACAGGCATGAGTCAGCACGCTCAGCTGTCATTTATTTTGCAGAGGAGAAGGAGACTGCAAGCTAGAGACTGAACAGTGTGCTAAAAGGCACTGAGCAATTTCATGATTGGATTAAGACAAGAAGTCAAATCTGCATTTCTTCATTTTAGAGGCTTTAAAATTATGAGATCACTTAATACAAGCCCCTCATTTTGCAATGGACCAACGGATATCTACCAGTAACTTCCCAGTCAGAGAAGTCACTAATAAAATTGTCAGGAATAGAATTAGCAATTTTGTGCATAAAGGACAGCGTCACTATTTTATAACCCGAGTGTCTAGCACACTACACACTAGAAAATAATAAGTAGTCAGTAAATAACCTGGAATGAGTGACTGGAACAATAAACTAGGTAAATGATAGATGCTGGCCAGAATGAGACATTCTTAGTGAATAACCCCGACAATGATTCACATTTCCTCACCTGTAGGGAATGGGAGCTAGCTGCATATTTTGAATGCAGAATGACTTCTTAAAAAAACAGGCTGGGCACAGTGGCTCACACCATCACTTGAGCACAGGAGTTTGAAACTAGCCTATGCAACATAGTAAGACCCTGTCTCTATAGAAATAAAATAAATTAGCTGGAAGTAGTGGAGCATGCCTGTAGTGCCAGCTACTTGGGAGGGGCTAAGTAAGGAAAGACAGTTTGAGTATGGGAGGTCAAGGCTACAGTGAGCTATGATTGCACCACTGACTCTAGGCTGGGTGACAGAGCAAGACTCTGTCTCAAAGAAAAAATACACGTATATGTGTGTGTGTGTGTGTGTGTGTGTGTGTGATACACACACACACACACATCCATAGCCTTTTGGGCCAGAGGAACATGTATGTCAGACACCAATTTCCACAGCGTTTTCATACTGAATGTATGATCCTACCAGTTGAATTGGTGGTTACCATACATTTGATGGTTGGCCAGAAATCAAAACTAGCAGATGGAGATAAGGAGACGGCAAGAGTTGGGGTAGGCCCAGGGAAAAAGGAGTTTACACATGCAGAAGGAAAAAAAAATAGAAAATATTATTTTAGAGGTAAAAGATCCATGGCTAGAAATTGTTACATAAAATGTGTAGAATAGGATCAAGGGTAAACATTCCTTTTATCCAAAATTGTATTTAATTTTTGTGATGAAACCTCTCAAATGTGCACATGCGTGCACACACACACACACAATTAAAGGAGAGAAAGGAAAACACTTGGCAAAAAATATTCGGCCGGGCGCGGTGGCTCAAGCCTGTAATCCCAGCACTTTGGGAGGCCGAGGCGGGTGGATCACGAGGTCAAGAGATCGAGACCATGCTGGTCAACATGGTGAAACCCCGTCTCTACTAAAAATACAAAAAATTAGCTGGGCATGGTGGCGCGTGCCTGTAATTCCAGCTACTAAGGAGGCTGAGGCAGGAGAATTGCCTGAACCCAGGAGGCGGAGGTTGCGGTGAGCCGAGATCGCGCCATTGCACTCCAGCCTGGGTAACAAGAGCGAAACTCCGTCTCAAAAAAAAAAAAAAATTCATTCTGAAATTTGCAGAGAAAACTATAGAAATTGAAGACTGAGGCTTCCTTATGGAGAGTGTAGCAGTCAGGAGACTCTGGGTCCCCCAGAGACTAAGAGGAAAACCAGAAAAAGACAAAGGAACAATGAAGCTGAGATCCACTCCTATTTTATTGAAAACCATTAGTGCAAAATGTTAACAGTTCCTGTAGCATATTTATTTATTTATTTATTTATTTTTATTTATTTATTTTTTGAGACGGAGTTTCGCTATTGTAACCCAGGCTGGAGTGCAATGGCGCGATCTCGGCTCACCGCAACCTCCGCCTCCTGGGTTCAGGCAATTCTCCTTCCCCAGCCTCCTGAGTAGCTGGGATTACAGGCACGCGCCACCATGCCCAGCTAATTTTTTGTATTTTTAGTAGAGACGGGGTTTCACCATGTTGACCAGCATGGTCTCGATCTCTTGACCTCGTGATCCACCCGCCTCGGCCTCCCACAGTGCTGGGATTACAGGCTTGAGCCACCGCGCCCGGCCACATTTTTTTTTTTTTTTTTTTTTTTTTGGGACGGAGTTTCGCTCTTGTTGCCCAGGCTGGAGTGCAATGGCGCGATCTCGGCTCACCACAACCTCCGCCTCCTGGGTTCAGGCAATTCTCCTGCCTCAGCCTCCGGAGTAGCTGGGATTACAGGCACGCACCACCATGCCCAGCTAATTTTTTGTATTTTT